CAGCTGGAAGGATGAGATATGAGAGGCAATCCGTTTCTCACATTCGCAGTTGGTGTCCGAGCAGGCCGCTGCAGCGCGGTGGCCGCATGAGGGACCTCCTTAGATGTCTGATCCGGCTACATTGACGTGGACAGCTGGAAGGATGAGATATGAGAGGCAATCCGTTTCTCACATTCGCAGTTGGTGTCCGAGCAGGCCGCTGCAGCGCAGTGGCCGGATGGGGGCCTTCCGCGCAAGCAGATGTCGAGCAAAATTCAGTCGAAGGGTGCGGTTTGTCGCTCTGGGTTTTGGGAGATGCTGTAGTGCAGGGGCGTCGTGTGTAGGTTTCCTGTCTGGGAGATCTTGCATGCTTCCCTGATAACCTTTTACTGTATGTCTCCTTGTTCCGGTAATGGTGTCATCCACATGCTTACCAAGGGCAGTTCTTCGGCGAAGTGGCGGCTTCAAGGCATGGTAATCCGGTCAAACACAATTAGCAGCAATCCGTGTGCGCATGTCCGTGACCGTCGACGGTTGCTTGTAAATCAGCATGTGACCGACGTGGGCATCTAAAAGCTTGACGGGCCGAGACCGTATGCGGACGTGCACATCTGCCGTTGACTTTCGCACTTGCACACCTTTAGTTTGGGGACAGGCCGAACACTTCGAGACAGCCAGTGGCGACAATGAAGTTCCTGAGAAGGACTGCAGCCGAAACCTGATGACGTGTAGCAATCGGCACTGCATCGAGATAATGGCGACCCAGGGGCGGCAGCATCCGTAACCGCTGTGGCAGGGTCTTGTGGGTTTGGGACGGACATAGCTGTGGCGAGTTGCTGCTCTCGAAAAGACGAGGACTTGATGGACATGTTGACCTCACTGAACGAAATTGCCCCGCACTTATTGCGCCAGTTGGAGATTGTTTTGACGGAAGCGCATGCGATCGTTGTACCGCAGCCCTGGGACCCAGGTGGTGAGTGCGGACAAAGAGCACAAGGCTTTTGAAAAGCTTTCCAGTGTTCCTTCCTCAGTTGACGCAGAATCTGAGTGGAACATATGGTACTTGGTCATACCCTCCTCAACCATGAGCCTCTGCCTGCTTGTCGCGAAGTGCCCGTCAGGCACGCGGGACTGCCTGCCAGTCGACCGAGACGAGTCTCCAACAGTCCGGTGCCAACAGTGGAATGATGACAAGGGATCCTCCACCAAGCGCACAAGACTTGGCATAAGAAGTGCACAGCTGCTTAGACTTAAAAGCTGCAGAAGGATCAAGATCGGTTGTTTGTAGTTGTACTATGGGATTCTTCAGCGACACGGGCATTGAAGAAGACAGCAGAATACCAAGGTCCATCTCCGAGGGAAGTCAGTCTATCAAGACCGCAGTTGCCTCGGGCGCTGATGGAGAAGCGCAGCTGCACATTCGCCCTGGTAGAGTTGTGTTGCTTGTTCAGCGTCCCTGGATGCCATTCTAGATCCCCCTCCATCTGGCGACATCAAAGTCCGGTCCGTAGTTGGCGTGCGCACAGGCACAAGTCGAGCTGTCGAAGGCCATGAGCGAGGTGGAGTCCATCCAGGTGCCATGAAGATCTACGCGCATAGCAACACCCCATTCACAGGCGCAAATTGATTGCTTGAAGTTGAGATTCACGAACTTGACATGCCAGGGAGATGTGACTGAGCTGAAGTCTCAAGTCAAGACCGTTGAGGATGAGCCGGGCTCTTTGCTGCTTGCTCTTCATTGACTCGTCGGGTTTCTGTAGATGCGGCAATCCATGATTGTTATGGTGTCCGTGTATCATGTAAGCACAAGGGCGTATTGACTCAACTGTCTGCAAAAGTTTGCATTCATGCCACAATATGCCGCCGACTGAGACCTTTGATAGCCATGTCTGAGAGACACAGCATCGTCGAGAGAGCATCATTAGCATGTGCGAAGCATGGCTTGCGTCAGGCGACAAAGGTGTTCAAATGTCGTATGCAACCTGAGCTGTGCATGCCAGCCCGGACATCAAAATGATGCATCTCAACAGGCTATGTTTGGGTATGCGGCTCAAGCCTCACCTTGCGGAACGCGTGCCGGCATCACTTCGCTCATCATGCAGCGTGGCTACATCCCCACGTGGAAAACCAAGGTGGTGCACACATTCCTCGAGTTTGAAGAGGACGAAGAGGAGGGAAAGAAGGGCCGTCGCAGTGTCTCCGTGCCGCCGAGAGTGTGCCAGCACCACTCCGAGACGGAGCTGCCGGAGGAAGTGAGACCTTAAGGTTTTCATGTTGGCTTTTTGTTCCAGTT